ACGTCGTTGGACAGCAAACAGCACAAAGAGAATAGGCAATAGTATAATAGGGTAACCGGGTGAGCGAGGGCCCCCGTTGCGCGCGCGCGCCTCACACCACGCGCTTTGATAACGCTTCGCAAAGCATCGAACACCATACACGGACACACACACACACACATCTATTGTAGGAACATTTGTTGTTGTCGCTATAGCGGCGTCGGCACGGCCGGCAACTTGCGAAAGCACTGATTTGTGCTGGTGAGCAGGGAACAAGCCAACAACAACGAGATGCATTTGGCTTTATTTCTTCACGTTGGCTTTAGCGGGTGCCGCAGTAGCGGCAATGGCCGCCGTAGTCTGTTTTTATCGTTGAAAAAGTAATAAACCATCACAGCTTTGCTGGCCGTCTTGTAGGCCAGTTTTAGGGCCACTGACAAACTGCGGCTGGTACAATAACTGCATTTGCTGTAAAGGGCCCAGCTTCCATGCTTAGGCCTTTCTATCCTATCGCACAATGTTGGTGCAATTGGCCGAAATAGTAGCAGTAGTAGTGGTTATAATGCGGCACCACTGGTGGCTAGCCTGAACTCACATCAGCAACTTTGCTCCAGTTTAAAACGGCAACAAAAATAACAATATCCGCATCTACCGCCAAGTGAATGGAACAACTTGATTGAACCTACAGCTTTAACCGTATTATATAGAGAGAGAGGGACATTTCAAATATACATTTTTGCACTGTTTAGGCCTCGTTGTAATTACTGCTTGTGCCTAGGCGTAGCTTGATTTATTTATCCTGTTGTTACCAATTAAACATTATAGAGGTTTAAGGTATGAGAGAGTAAGTGATTCGCTGGCGCCTATCAATGCTCCGGTGGTATGTGTGCATTGGCCGCGTAGATGATGCCGTCTTCAGCTGCTGTCGTTCACTCCCTGATCATTATTAGCATTACTGTGGCTGTCCGCACTTCTCGTTGCTATTACGCCGAAACAGCACAGCGGCCGCGGAAGTTTGTAATGTTGAGTTAGTCAGCGCTGATGATATCGCTGTTACTCGTTAGTCGATTGTATTGTCCATAGAGTGGCAGCAGCGGCACCGACGGCATAGCGTCGGTGGTGTACCCGGATTCGGGCGCGGGTACACGACCTCAGACGCTTTACATTTATGTAGCTACAGCGGCGGCGGCGACTGTGGCTGGGGCTGCACCGAACGGGAACATCGGCATTTGGGGCTAAACAACGCCAGAGCAGAACCAGCTGGGAAGAACCAGCAGACGAAATGGCAGCGGAGATAGGCGGTGTCGCCAAAGCCACAACACAGCCAACAAACCACCTCAGCAGTAACAACAATGGCGGCAGCTGTACGGGGGCCGGGGCAGCAGGCGCGGCAATGGCAACCTGTCTCCTAGAGGCAACCGGCAGCAGCAAAGCTTTTAACAGAGCTTGTTCCGACAGTCCCCCACCAGTTAGCCTGCTGCTCTCACATCATAGTCATCTTGAGTGTTGTTGCTGTGGTTGTCTCCGCCGCCGCCGACGCTGCTGCTGTTGTTGTTCGTCATCGATTTTCTTGATGCTGTTGTTGCTGTCGGTGCGGTCTTCTAGCTGCTTGATCCTGGGTTTGGCGGCGGCGGCGGCAGCAGCGGCGGCAGCGGCAGCGGTGTCCGCAGAAGCCCGATGAGGAAGACGACTGCGATCCTGAAAGCTCTATCTTGATATTCGTAGAGGAGGCTGTGCTATGGATATGAATGCCTTTGAGGGAGCAGCACTCACTGCTGCTGCGGGCCTGCCGGCCGGCCGACCGCTTGCTGCCCGTTGCCTCGCCAAGGCAAAGGTAGGTTGAGGCATAGATTTGGCTTTGATTGCAGAAAGCTTCTTGTTTCCTTCAGTTGTTCGGCCTCGTTGTCTTCGATTGCTGCTGTTCCGTTTTATGCTTTCTGCGTCTTCTCTTCCCGTGTCGTTCGCGTCACCGCCGACGTCGTAGTCATCTACCTCGCCTCTAACGATATATGAAATGTTTGCTGGTTCAAGACGCCCATGAGCTCCGCTCGTTTACTTGTTCTTCGCTCGGCGCTGCTGCTGCTGCTGCTGCTTCTGGTGAGGAGTTCAAGTTGTTACCGGAGTTGAGTTGACTTCTTTGAGCAACGCCCGCGCCGCCTTACGTAGCTCCAGCGGTGAGCGACACGGACGACGGTCGCTGAAGCCGCCGGCATCGACCGCGCATGTCCGCCCTCTCTAGTCGCGCTAGCTGCTACTCGTTGTTGCTGCGGCGACTGCCGATGCCGCTGTTTGTCCCGCGGCAAAGTTATCGAATGAAGTTTCTTCTTTTTCGTAGGACAACAACGACGACGATGGTGGCTCCTTTTCTCTGCTGATGGCTGCTTTTTTTTTGCTATTTCTCTATCGGCCTTTTCTTCTTCTTCGACTGGCTGCAGCTAGCTACTTCATCGTCGTCTTCGTCTTCTTTGATTTTTCTTTCTTGCGTTCTTTCGATTTCTTTCGTTTTCTTTCATCATTTTAAACTGCCGCCAACGTGCCACCGCCGCTAACACATCCAGCAGCGGTGCCAGCGACGCTGCCGCACGACTGTAGCTGATCGCGGTGCGTCATCGGTGAACGACGGGCGGACACAGAGCTTACCGGACTTGTGCTGCTAGTGTTTGTTAGCGGGCGCAGGAGCGAAGGCGAGAGAGAGGGGGGAATGAAGGGAGAGCGGAGTGAACACTAACACGTTTTACTTTTTCCCGTTGTCGTCTCGGCTCGCGTCGAATGCGCGATTCGTTTCTGATCAAATCTACTTTAGCCACTTTAAATTTCTTTCACAACCACCATCACCCTATCAGGATGAGAAATGAGTTGCGGTATTGTAAGCGCATTTGGTTCGACGTCGACAGCTCGTCCGGCGTAGTAGTAGTATCAACAGAGCTAACAACACAGACACATTACTATTATCGCCACTGCGGACAGGGATGTCGAATTGCTTCTTCACACGTTTGGCACCGATTTTAGGCGACTTACGAGCAAACGAGCTAAATGACCGGTCAACCGGCAGAACTAACGAAAGGCCAAATCCCGATCTGTGATTACACAGAACCTAAAGAGAACAGACCCGAGCAGAGGGTAAAGGCGACGCCACAACTAGCATTTACACACCGACGGACAATGGAAGCATAACGTTATAAAGCAACAGCTTTTTTAGAATAAAAAAATATGTTTCTGTCAGAAGGGTACTAGTTCTTGTTTTTGGATAACGGGCCGTGCGCATTTTCGCACACGAAAAACCACAGCTGGACGCTAGATGTAAACAGGGCGACAGCCAAATACTACGAACGTTTGTACAGAAGACAAACTGCCACTGAGGTAAGTTGTGTTCTATGCAGTTAGTACTGAATCGAGGAGTAATCTATATTACAGTGGTGAATGAATGTTAATTGTGTCGGACAAGCTACGCGAGCAAACGACCTCAGCCGTTCTATTATCGGTTTAACGTGGCGCCGGCAGCAAAAAGGCTCCATTTGCCAAGGTCGTAGCCCTTGTAGCAAAACATTGCTAACACCCCCTTCAACCGTAAGTTTAAGCCTGAAAGCAATTTTCGTTATTCAGGGTGGCCTTCTTTTCTGCAACGACTTGTTTTTCGCATCATGTGGCCTGTTTTCAGCTGCTGCATTGATAACCGCCGCAACGAACCTCATGATTACATTTTACCATTAAGTCATTAACATTCCGTTAGGCAACAACGACAACAGCAAAAGCAAGTATTATGGTTGTCGCAGCTGCTGCTTTGGCGTGTCCGCGCAGCGTAAGTGCTACTGCTTAACGTCTCGACAGCAGCAGTAGCCGCTGCTGCTGCTGCTGCCGCCGCCGCCGCCGCCACGACATTTTGCAATTGTTTCGCGTCTGCGTGCGCTGGCTTGGAAGCTCTTACCATTTCTGTCTCGGCTTCGGCAACACGTCGCCACCCCGCCGCTGATACTTCGCTTTCAGTCGATATACATATATAGAGATAACATTCTTCTGTACGCGTCCGTAAATTATTAGCAGCAATAGCAGCTGTTGCTCGGTAACGACAAAAACGAACTCTGCACAGCAGCAGCAGCAGCAACATATGCACGCTGCGCTTCTCAATGGCAGGTTACAGGACATCACACGTAAGCACTGGTGACATGCCAGGTTCACTGATTGTGACTTTTCTGCGACTGCTGGTCCAAAATGCTGTCCTTTTGTCATTGTCGCCGCTGTTGTTACAGTCGAGTGACAGAAGCCGAGCGTCACGACGCGACTCATAGTAGCAGCGCTGGCCTTAGTGCGCGGTTAACACGTGCGCATACATGGATGCATGTCGTATGCCTGTCTGTCTGAGTGTGTGTGTGATCTTGTCTCTGCTGTACGGCTAAAACGATCCGACGGTCGCAGTTACTGGAGCCTGGGACTACGTTCCCGCCCACGCATTGCCTTCTACAGGCGTGGGACGACGAACAGAGTCGCTGTTGCTGTTTGTGTCGTAATCGGCTTTGCGCCGCTCGCGGCGACTGCCACCGACTTCGATGTAGTTTTCTTTAGCACGACTGTGGTCCATTAACCGTGCAATGCTATTGCTGCTGCCGCTGTTGCTGCTAAGACTATTTAGTGAAAGCAAAAGGGAACAGAGTGGAATGAATGGGTCAGAAAATTCATTACGCACGAACTGACGCTTCTTTTATGCGGATCGAGCAGTAGCAGCAGCAGAACGAGCAGACTTTTTTTTATTCATTTTGTGTGAACTAAATTTAGGAGCTCGCCATATCACACCATACCGGTCCAGTCAAGCCCAGCAGATCGGTTAGTGGAGCCGGGCGGCAGCCAGTCAGCTCGATAAGGAATACCGGCAGCGAACGTAGCGCAATGTACGCACCTGTTATGGACCCGTGGAATAGCGTCACTTGTTGTTCCTATTTGCTTTTTGCTATTTTCTTCCGCGATTTTTGGCTGCATTTTAAAATTGTCGTTCCCTTCGTTTTGAATTTGTGACTTTTGTATTTCAGCAAGCGGAAGTTTGTGGCGGACACGCAGCCGACCGATGTCGACCCTCCAGCTCGTTTCCTGGATCGCGCTCATCGCCCTGGTCTCCAGCGCAGGTAAGCATCGTATTAGAAGGGAACTGACGATTCCATTAGAATTCATAGTGACTTTAAAGACACTAGACGCGATCTGTACGATTAACTTAGTCGGATCATAAGAGTATCATTCTGCTATCATTAGGCGAATGCGGTGCTTGCGGGACGATTATATGCATCACTAGCGTAGTAAGCAGAAAAGCGGCTTCTTTGGGGGCTGGTTGTTACCCTGTGTTCGAATTCTTCTACCTCTTTTCGTGAAGAACCTAGTGCCAATCTGGTACGCACTGTACAAAGCAAATAAAGCTGTCACTTTGCCCCTCGTTCCTTATTTCTAAAAACGACTGAGGTTAGTGCTGTTGCTCAGGCGTCCGTATCGTATCTATTGCTTTCGTCGTAGATAGGTGGCGTATTCCACGGAGCGCGTGGTTGAAATGAAGTAGTATCAGCAGCCGGCCCTTAAAGGTAGAAAGTGTCATCAAAAATCGGATGATCAGTTCATTAGGTCTATCCTCCAGCCCACCGTCTCCTTAGCATATTCGACAGTGCTACACCTGTTACGAAAATTCACATAGTACAGCAACAGAATTACGCACGAGCTTCGTCGTGGCAGCCATTGTACAGACCGCGATATACACGCGTTACATCTGCTATAATATCGATTTATCTGTGTGGCTAGCAAATATATCATAGTTTCAAGGGACGAGTATATATATAGCTTGATTGTTTTCTTTCTCTTTTGTCATACTCTTCTTAATTGTAAAAATAAGAAAAAGAAGTGTAGTTTTCCTCGGTCGGCGCCTGCCCACAGAAACACTGCTGCTAGGTTTTATATGGAGTCGTCGCCCATCTTCTCTGGCGGCGACACGAGGCTATGCGTGGTTACTAGAACGAGCACACTCGTTGATTCGCAGCGCTTAAGCCGACGAGTTCCGCAGAAAGGAGCACGCAGTAATCGTTTTAGAGCAACAATTGTAGAGGTAGTAATAGTTCATCCCGTAGTAGAAGTCGGCCTAATCGTCGTCGTCTCAACTTGAGCTCCTGCGTTCGTTCGTTCGTTCTCGTTGTTGTTGTTGTTTTTACTGTTGTTGTTGTTGTTGTTGTCATCTCCTTCCTTTTCTCTCGACCTCGACATGTCCAATGGATAGAAGTCCTTTTAGCGGGTCCTTCGATTTTTCTCCCTGTTTTTGGCGGTCGACTGGGCTACTGCCTGAGCCGCTCGAGCGGCAGTCGGCAGCACCCGGCCGTGCATCTGCCGTTTTCTTTCTCTCCCTGTTTCTCGGTCCCCTTCGTCCCTGTATCCGCAACCCGATTCTTTGGTCCTCTATCGACTCCTACGCCCGCACATATGCTGACGAGTGCCTCGCGCAGCGCGGACGACGCCTGCCTGGATAGCCTGATTCACCTGGTTGCTGCTCTACGGCGCAGCGCCACTACCTATATCATCCACCGTCGAACCTACCAGTTGTGTCGCTTCTATTTTTGGCCTACAAGGCAGCTAGCCGCTCCTGCCTTCTGCTGCTGTCCTGTACTGAAGGTGGTCGTGGCTATGAACCACTGTGACAGCGGCAAAATTGCAGCGGCGGCGACAGTAGTGTGGCTGCAGCGTCAGTCGTCTCGTCGGCGCTCCGTTCCTATGCGCGAGTAGTCAGTTCCTTGCTTACTCGATCTGCGGGTAGTAGTAGATTGTTACAGACAGCAACATATTACAGAAGTGCCTAGTTCTAGCGGTGGCGCTTTACATTGTTTGGCTAGCGTAGTAGAGGTAGAAGTACAGCTTCTACCAATAGCAGCGGACGTGGCGGCAGAAGCGACAAAGATAGTAATGATTTTGTAAGTCGTGGCGTTGCTGATGGCGCTGATGATTGTGGTGTCAGACAGTATGCGCCTGTCCACCTGAAGGGAAGGACCATAGACCGTTGTTGTTGTTGTTGTTGTTGCTGCTGCTGCTGCTGCTGTTAGTGGTCGTGCGTGTGCGGCGTGGCACCACGGCCATAGTCCTTTTCTTGATCTTCTCGATGCTCCTTCCCGTCGTCTCGTTCTCCGACGGTCGATCTACTCTGCACCCGCTTGCCATCTGGCATTCGGCTGACTGGCTAGCTAACGCTCGCCAGCTAACAAACTCCTGTTGTCATTCAGACGCACAGAAACAAACATACATACACAGGCGCGGGTGCACTCACATACACACACTGAGCCTTAGCGAAAAACTACTTAAGTGGTCGACGCAGTCATGTGCTGGACGCGTGCGGGGCACTCGCCCGGAAGTTGAGAGAAAAAGACGACGGCATATTCCCTACGCTTCGTATTTGACGGAGCGTGTACATTGATATGTGGCGCTAGCGGCCAATGAACACCGATTAGAGGATGACGATATACCGCGCGCGATCACTACCTTTGTGCTATGCTATCTATAATACACGCAGAATAGTAAAGGGACTTTCTATTTTTACGCGCTGATGACCGGCTGGCGACCATATCAGCTGTCCAGTTGAAGCTTCATCGTCGCTCGAATACTGTACTGATAGCGCCATGTCTTCGGTAATTTCCTCTGTAGTTCAGCGCTTAAAGTCGAACTCAAATAAACCCACAGTATATATAGCCCACAATATTAAATACATAGTAGTCAGCAATGAATGATTTAACAGTCCTCCGATGTGGGTCGAACCGCCTCCGCTTTAACCTCGGATACCGGCCTGACCCAAATCCCGAATCTCTCGTAACGATAGTAGCACTGCTGTCAGCTCCAGCCTGACCATAGCTCTTTGGCGGTTGATTATAAACTGCGTTCTCTGTCCTGTGAAGTTTTTGTGATCGCGACCCACAAAGCGGTAACGACGACGAACGAACCTCTATCACTAACCAGCCAGAGGTCAGGCACATTCTGCAGTATCATTCGAGCAACAGCCGCTAGCGATGCTGACTCGATCGAGGTAGCATATGAGAGAAAAAAGCATTTGTAAATGACGAGTTGCCCGTTTTAATTGGGTAGAACTTTTTTTGTGGCGCTTCCCGCAAAATCGTTCTACAGTAGCACGACTTCAAGGACTCACGAGTGTCTGTGTATAAGGACAAACTATATATCGGACGCGAAAAGGTTGATCCGAAACCGCAATTGCTGCTATAGCGCTACTACTGTAGCGCGAATCCCGCACTGGCTATATATATATATATATATATATATATATATATATACATATATATATATATATATATATATATATATATATATATATATACTATGCTGGATGCCATTTGAATGATGTATGAATTCAGTTAGGTTCATAGCATAGCTTGTCTTCTGTGTTCTTGCATAGTTCGTTCCGGGGGTCCGATGGACGTCCTGCTGCCTTATGGACGACGGGCCTCCTTTGACCGGACGAGCAACAATAATGACCGGGGTGAGCAAGTCTGGGCGGCTCTGTGCTCCGACACGCGACAGAACCATGTACGGCTTAGCACCGCCACCACTGGTGATTATGGTGCTGCGCTCGAATTAAGCATCCAGCCCTACTCTAGCAGCGATGGGCAGACGACAGACAAACGAACTAACAGAATGATGTCGCCTGACCGAATGGGTTGTGGCAGATTCCCTCCCTGTTCTACTCGGGCCAAATGGCGTCTGGGGGTCATCGGGTCGGCCACCAGCCACAACTCCAGATCAATAGAACCAGTCCCTTCATCGGCAAACCGAGATCTGCAGAACTGTGGAACACCGGCTAGACGAATAGCTGGACTTCGCCAGACAGTCCCATCGAACCATCGTTATTTGATCGGTTGTCTAGGAGTACGCCGTGCTCAGTCTCATTGTTTCTGCCTTCTTTTGTCATTGTAATGCGCCACGATCGCAATCATGATGACTAGGACGATGGTCGGCCAACGAGAGAAATCTCTGCCAACATATAACGATGCAGCCATACCATGTATAATAACAATAACCCAGCCTCATTCTTTGTGATAGTAAGGCTAGTTTAATAAAAAGCGAACGCCTTACAGTCATGTTATGTTTTCTCAATATTGCATCTACATAGATAATGGCTAGACGATTGCTAAGGTCCGAAAGTATTTGAATCGTTGGCAGCAAAGAAGTTAAGCAATGCAATGTAAAATGAGAACGCGAAAAGTATGTGTATCCACCTTCTTCTCTAAATGGTTCGATCTCTCATCGTCGTCGTTCACTGCCGCTGTTCACCCCGTACACAGCATCATCATAATTATCATGAAAACCGCCATCGTCAGCGTAGTCTTAGGTCGATGCTCAAGATGAAGACTGTTGCTGCTGCTGCAGCAGAAAAGTTCCTACCAAAGCAGCGCGGCGCGTGCGACAAGAGTGCTTCACGGCATACAAGCACACACGCGGCGAGGGGCCTTTGCTCGCATAGCTCGTGAGGCATCTCGCTCTTTCCTTCTTCAACTTTTGGACTTGTTGTCCTTCTGCTGTTATTGCTGCTGCTACTGCTGACCGGCATCGACTTTTCGACTACTTTAGCGCAATCTCTCATGCTTCTTTTCCTTCTGCTCCTTAACTACTTCGCCTTCCCTGTTGCGTTCGGTTTTTCTTGGCGCCGCTAATTTTCGATGGCGATGTATTTCGCGGTGGGCAAAAGGCTTTCAGCTCTATAGTAGTAGGGGTAGTAACTCTCTGAGGGTGGGGGACCATGGAGGCGGCATCTCTCGAATGCCGATAGCACCGCCGCATACCTGATGCCCGGTGGTCCAATGATCCGGAATCGGGGGCGGAGTAGCTTACTGACTGACTCAGTCGACCGCCTGCCGGACTAGCCGCGGTCGGTGCCCGTTCTGCTGCCGTTTGCTTCCGGCTGTCTGCTTACTCTTCACTATGTGTATATATGGCAACAACAACAGCACCTGCAACAGTGCTCTGGCTATGACTACATCCAGCTAGCTAGCTAGCTAGCTAGCTATCCGTGGTTTATTGCCGCAGGGATCCTTGCCGACTACGATCGCTCTTATTCTCCGTCACCGGTGCCGCCATTGCCACCGCCGCCCCCGATCGTGGAGTTCTTTTTCTTCGGCAGCATTAGTAACACCGCCAATGGCAGTAGCCCCAGAAGCAGCCCTCGGTCAAGCAGTGTCATTGCCCTGGGCAGCGGTGTACAGTCTATAACAAATGCGCATCGACAGCAGCGCGACGGTTGCGCCAGTAGATGTTGTCCTCACATTCACTTTTCGGCTGCTCGTAACTGCTCCATTCGACTTTTGCGGCTCAGCGATGCCAACGGCAGCCACCGTAACCTCACATGTAAAATACGTACGAACTAACTGCCGCCGCTTTTGGTCAACGCGAAATTCGTGCCCATTTGGCAACCTCTTACAACAGTAATACATACCTAGTCGTTATTCCGCGAGCGTTGCTTAGATGGAAAAAGGTGCCGGAGCTACTACACGGATTACGTTTGACAACGATACCGCGCCACGTTGTTGTTGCTGCCGTGGTCGAACGGCAAATCTGGAGCTTGGAGTTCTTGTGTATCTTTCAAACAGAAGAATAACAACGACGGCGGTGACCTTCTTTTTGCTGAAGCATACGTAAAGTTCTTTCTCTTCTTAGACACGTACGCCTGTACAGAGCTGGATGGACCTGGTTGTCTCAGACGCTGATATCTTCGACAGATACACGACAGCGTAGCAGCAATGAATTCGATGAACAATGCGAGGAAACGGAAGCGCTTTCGAATCATGTTGCTTGTTGTCCGCTTGTAGGTTCGTTCAGACCGCTGCTGCTTCAAAGGGGGAGGTCGCCTACCGCGCTTCGGTTCCCTTTTGGGGGACCGTTGCGACAGAATGCATTTGAGCTCAAGGGTGGTAGCCGCGGTCGTCAGCTGGCACATGGAGAGCTGGTCGTCTTCTGTTGGCATTGGCAGTGTCATTGTTCTTGATTGTTATTATTATTATTATTATCAGTATATTATAAAAGAGCGATAGCAATGGTTTCGGCAAAGCGTGGCGACTCGTGCCTGTATGCTTCCCTTTACAACCGCTGCTGCTGCCGCACCACGACCACAACAACAAGAACGAACAACTAAAAACAAAGAAAGTCAGCCAGTCATCAGTCAGCTCCCGCAGCTTGTTTTATTTTCCATACTAATAGTATATTAGTAGCGGTACGCGAGCCCGAGCGTTCGACAACTGCTACTGGTGATGCTGATCATCTGTTGGGTTGACATTGCTGTTTAGAAGGGAGGCTGCAGGCCAGTGGCGGACTTAAGGGTCAGCGTCGTAGTCTTTTACATAGGAACGAGGCAATACGAACGAGCTGGCAGTGCCGCAGTACTAGTTAGGGCGGTAGTAGCCGTAGTACGATAGCACTAGCAGTGCTAATAGAAACTGTGTGCTACATCGTAGCATAACTTGGGGAAGGCTAGGAGGACGCTGTGGCTGCCAGCTTCAGTTAGGGTACAACAGGGGTGGTAGTGCTATACGCGCTACATTTGTCAGCAACAGAAGGAATAGCAGCAGCTTGATCTGGACTTAGTTTTGCCTGAGTTTGTTTTTTTCTTTTTCGTTCCGTTTACTGTGCGCTGTTGCTGTGACTAGCGTGAAGTAGAGTGGCAGCTAGTTCTGCTGCCAGCCGCCAGATGTTGCTGGCGCCGGCTGCGTCGCCGGGCGACACAGGTGCTGTAGCAGGAGAACAAGAGAGAAAGAAAAAGAGGGGGAAAGCCTGCATCTGCCGGCGCCGTCGCCGAATGAAGCTACTCTCGAGTAGAAAAATGGGCTAGAGTAGAGTGCACTCTAGAGCTTTGAGCGCGTACAAAAGGGATGCTGAGCGGCTCGCAGTTCAGCTGGAGGCCCCCAAGCTGCTACACTCACATTAAGCACCCTGTTGTACAGTTAAGGCTGGCAGGCGAACGTAGAACAGCGCCGTCTTTGCTTCTGATGCCGCGGCTGCTCCAGCGGGCCAGCGCGTGCCGGACACATGCTGTTGTTCGTTCGAACTGCTGTTGCCAGCTCCCTCCACATCATATGCATATACACCAATCCACACACACAGACACACACACCCACTACACATCCACCGCACAGACCCAGGCGGTATGAAATTGCTGCTGTTTCTTCCGCTGCTGCTGACGCTGGCGGTAGCGGGATGTGCTGACCTCGATTTTTTGGATTCAACTGACCCGGGACAGCGCCGGCTGCTTTTCGGCTGCGTTTCGAGGCTACTACTCCCCCACTTCGCTTTTTGCTGCTGCTGCTAGGGCAGCTTAAGTCAGCCACAGCAGTAAGCGCAACCGTAAGTGTCTCTGTCGTTCTATGGCAGGCTTTGTGTATAAGCAATTGCGAGGAGGCTGCTCCCAGCGAGCGAAAAGCGAACAGAAAGCGGTCGAGTGAGCGAGGCCCGTGATAGCGGAATGCAGACGCGGATTTCCGGACTACTACTGCTGCTGCTGTTAGACCCATGACAACTTTCGGCAGCCTTCTGATGATATAGTATTTAAATGAGTTCACGCGGCGATAATACGCGTAGATCTTCAGTCGAAATGACAGTGACGATCGCATCCGTAACTCGCGCAATCTACTGTGTGGCGCGCACCTAAATTAGTTACACCGTGTAATAATCGTAACCGCAACCGATACGTATGCCTCATCTGAACACCTATACATTAGATAGATACGCGCGTTAATAGACCTTAGGTAGGCCGAGCTAAGGAATCAATATCGCGATATCGAGATTGCGTCGTATAACAAACGCTGAATATGGACATAATGATGATCTACGACGACAGCGTGTAAACGAATTTTCTTTTCTTATTTTTGCCATCTTCCGTGCTTTATTGCGTGTTTCACCAGATGCTTGCTCAACACGATCAACGCCAAAAGCCCGCTCCAGCTACATCAGCCAGCTACAGGCGCAGCAGCAGGCGCAGCGACCCATTCCGCGACTCGTTCCCCACGCGCCCCAGCAGCCCTCGTCCTACCGGGCACAGCCACCCGCTTCCTCCGTTCCCGTTCAGACACCCTTTGCTGCAGTTCCCGCACCTTCCGTACCGACGGTCAGCGACACGGACCTAACGACGCAACGACCCAATGTCACATTCCAAACGTACACCTGTCCAGAAGCGTACGCCAAGTGGTATTGTCTCAACGGTGCGTCGTGCTTCTCACTCAAGATTGGCGAGTCGATCCTGTACAACTGCGAATGTGCCAGTGGATACGTCGGCCAACGCTGCGAGTTTAAAGATCTCGATGGTACTTATCTTCGTAAGTATCTTGCATTATTATTTGAGTTTCTTGCTTGTTTTTATTACCGAAAGGAAAAAAATGTGCATGCGTCCTTCTCGATCTTTTGTTTCATCCCACCCCGTACGGCTCCCTATCTGCATTCCCGTAAACTACGTCTTGTGACTGTCCTCTGCAGGCGTACTCATATGTGTAGCTTAATGTCAGACTAATGAAGGTCGCATGGCATTAGCCAGCTGACCTTTAGCTGGCGATAGCGTCGTTTGTGAGATTGATCTAAGCAATGGTGCATTTCCGTTGCGTTTTATTGTTGTTACAGCTCGTCGGGGCGTTCTTATCGAGACGGCCACAGTATCGATCGCCGCTGGGGTGGTGAGCATCATGCTCGTCGCGACACTTTGTTGCGTGGTGCTCTATCTGGTTATCGTTCAACGGTGCTTCCAGGTCAAGAAAGGCCAATACATTTATGAGAATTGGAATCCTGTCCTCAGGACAAAACAGGCGGTGCCAGTGGCCGTGCTAAGCGCGGATGGTCTCGTTCGCACAGTATAAAAGCCAACGGTCTTCAGTAGGATCTTCAAATTCACAAAATGAACAATTTTACAACGAGGACGACGAAGTGTCGTTGCTGTCGTACACATTAATACATGAACACGAGATTGCTTAACAACGATATTCTAAACAGGAAACACAAAACGCCAAATACATTAAGACGAAACGCCGCGCACATTTACGCACAGAACATCAACAAATACACACGGATTCAACCTAACCATAAACAGAAAGTATACACAGAGAATACAGTTTGAATTCATCCATATTGTTGAGTCTCTGAAGAGCCCCGGCTCACCATTGCTTGCTGTGATACGCCGTCCCCGCCTAGTCAAGGAGGCTCCGAGGACTGCTTGACGTCGCGTTCAGAGACAAACTTTTGCGCTAAGCGCGAGGCGAGCTCTGCGCGACGTGGCAATTCTTGCCCCCCGCAAGAGGTCAGGACGGCCCTAGTGCAATTGTTGCTTGGACGAAAACTAACGAAGAAAAATATGAGGAGACGCGCGAGAGAGAGAAACTGCTAAAGAGCATAATACGAAGAGAGCACGCACCCGGTTTGCCAAATACAAGGTCTCCTACGTTCACGCGGGAAAACCGACATCAGCCGACGGACGTTCAATTTAACGGACCGAACCCCATTCGTCTATCTACGACGCCACAACACCCTCTCAGCATTTGCCAACAACTAACTGACGTTTCCAATGAACGCAGAATGCATAATAGGTCGGTGTGGTAGCATGTTTACGCGCGGCGTGGCGACCCGGTCTCCCAACACGACGATCCTCCCGTTCGCCTGGGAAGAAGACAGCACAAAATCTTGAATTCCTGGAAGAGAATAAACAACGGCGGCCATGGCGGCAGCGAGACGGTGACGAAAAAAGCGAGCTAATTAGTTCGCTGTCTGGCTGCACGTGGCATATCAGTCAATGTTCTATTCTACATCGTTGTACCACTGTTACAGCGGCATCCGCGATTGCCGTCGCCATCGCCGTAGCGCCAGCCCTCGATGTGGGTTCGTCGGCCAGAGCTATCCAACGCTGTCAAACAGCAGTCGAGAGGCGGCCAACGAATGAAAAAACACTTGTTGTACATATATTTAACATTGACTGACTCTCCGAGCGGCTGTTCGCTGAATAAACGTCGCCAGATCCGTAGCACTCGCAGTTGTAATAGTCTTTGCTGTTGCTACTTGTCGCCGTACCGTGGCGTACGCTACAGTATATATACGAAGACCTCTAGCTAGCTATATACACGTATGAGCGTGTGACTGACTGCGTAGACTGTGTGTCGATTATATGAACTACGAAAAAAAGTAGAGAAGACGACCGAAGATACTAAATGAACACGATGCGATTTTATAGTTGTGCTTGTACGAATGGCGACAGTGGCAGCAACAACAACAACGGCGGCGGCAGCAGCAGCAGCAGCAGCAGCGACAAAACGTGCTTCAAAGCAAAGCCGGATCTTGCGACGTTCGGTGCGGAGGCCGACGATAGACTCCCACAAAATGGAAAAGTGGTCCATCCAATGTTGTACATATCCTGTATAGAACGAACGAGGGAGCGAGCGGAGGATAAGATCGAAAGACCGCGACAGATTGAGAACAAGACAAGGAGGAGACACAAGTCGAATAGAAAGTTTGGTGTGATTTGCTAGATGGACAAACGGCACTTTTAGCAGCTTGTTGTGACAACATTAACTGGCTGGCTGGCTGGCTGACTTAGTGCCTGGGTGGGGACCGTCAGCGCTACATATTAACTGGCACAGCGGCGCGTTTCGCCCCACCTTTGCACGTCCACAGTCATTCGCACTTACATTATGTATGTCTGTACAAAGGTTAGAAGACGAACAGGAAAAAAGCCAGTGGGAAGAACAGTCGCGTGAGGCATAAAGGTGGCTTTGCGATCGTCGATGGAAGACGATAACCGCATCGCGACCCCCAATTCTAATTTCTTAATTGAGTTCCTACATCGTCAGCAAAAGCTATTTTTCACAATATCGTAGCGGCGTTGTTGTTGTTGTCGTCGTCGTCGTCGTCGTCGTCGTCGTCGGTGGTTTTTGTTTTTTACTTTTGTTTGTTGCCAAAAGAAAAAAAGAATAGTAAACATAAAGGAAATTGCCAAGTGTAGTTGCGACAGGATCTAAGAAGTGCGGAAAAAGTAAGGAGGATTCACTTTGCACAAAAACTATACAACAGCAACGATAGCGCGCTTCATCGCAATAAACATGACCATTTTGTCAAATTATTTTGATCAGTGTCAACTACATCCGATTATGCCAGTATTCTGTTTGTTGAGCTGTTTGTTCCAACATAAATAAGAATACAACTCTATCCCCCCTCCCCGGTACCAGATGAATTTCGGTTATGATTTTCTTGTTGATAACAATAATACTACCATATTACTACTATTATTATTATTATTATTATTATTATTATTATTAGGAAATATTGTCATCGACAATATACTTTATTCTTTAGCTGCTGCTGCTGCTGCTGCTGCTGCTGCTGCTACTAAGATGTGCGACCTGACGATGCTACCTGAGCTCCTGCTATGTCTTACACGTTGACAAATAAGTAATAAAGTTCTATTTTATTACTAGCGTAGTAGTGACGAAAAAGAGCATTTATTAAGAAAGATTAAATAGCTAGAGAGAGAGAGAGAGAGGGAGAGAATGAGAGAGAGCGAGAGCGAGAGAGAGAGAGAGAGAGAGGGAGAGAGGGCGAGAGAGAGAGAGAGAGAGAGAGAGAGAGAGAGAAAGGGCGAGAGAGGGAGAGAGAGAAAATAATAGGTATTTATTGAATTTTTATGTTTCACCTGAACGGTAACAGCAAAAAATAAAACCCAGAACATAAAAATATTACAAGTATGACGTGTTTTCATTGACTGAGCGTTATGCTTATCCACTGCACCAAGGGGCGGGGTCACTTGAAAGGATTGCTTCGCATTTATTTACATGAAGGCAACATGACAGATGCTTGAAGCGTTGACCATTCGATTGAAATAGCCACCTATACTATATATTACTTGTACCTCTAATCGTTAAAATATAACGCTTGTTCCCCTTGGCCCAAATAGTGCTTGCTGAAAATTGCTACGAAGCGTTCGAGATGCAGCAACCAAACGAGAGGAAATAGTGTTCTTCTTTTTCTCGAATTAGCTGTGGAAAGCTGCATTTTGTTGAGGTACTGAAGGTTTTATAATGTTCATCCGTTAACGTCCGTTATTTCAGGTCACGAGAAAACGATAATGCTAGTTACGAGTTGGCGTCAGTGAGTTTCAAGTTTAGAAAGGCAGGGAGGACGAATGTAACGGGAGATTTTCGAAGGACGATGGGAATCCAAGAACATAGATGTTTACTACGGCTAGGTTATAGCAGCGGTGGTCGCAGTGGTTACGGCCGATTCTCCTGCGATCCATTCAATTGTACGTGAAAATCTGCATGGCTACACAGAGTGGTGGGGGCTGTTCGACGATATGGCGAACAGGACGTCCTTTGTTAGACTACAAGTGCCGTAAGAACAGCACATTCTCGTCGCATTATCGCCCTCTGGGCTGCTCCTGGTACCCGCAGGTGCTAACATTCGCCCTAGAGGCTCCGTCACCGCTTCGTATAGGGCTATCCTTGTTATTTTTGTTGCGGCTATAGTTTGCACGTCTTCCAGCCCCAACGCCGAAAAGTAGCAACTATCAAGTACCCTTGGTAGACGTCGCAGACGTTTTTCGATAGTTGTGTTGCTACTGTGTAGATGTTGTTGCCGTAGCTACGGCTGACGCTACTAGCTTGCCCTGACTGCCAGTGTCTTAGGTGAGTCTTTGCGTTTGTGGGCGTGTGTGAATATGTGTGTATGTGAGTACGAGCGCTTTAGACGTGCTTGCTTGTTGTGAGAAGGGCTGTTGTCCGTATGTTTCGCTACAGGTTCCCTGACTTGTTCATGCAGATGAGAAAGATTGGTTTTGAGTCTCAGACAAGCATCAACAGCGAGCGCTTTTTGTATTCGGACTGAGCCGCGATGGGACGGCCATTCTGCAGAGACTCTGCAGAGAGAATTGATAGGTTGTTAGCATAAGATATAATAACATAATAATCAAGCGAGGCCAAGAAAACACTATATTGGCTTACTGGCTCACTAACAAAAAAAAATCGCAAATAACGGATACTTCTGCTATAACATGAACTTGTGCTGCTGCTGCTATATTCGCGAACAGACACCCAGGATGTTTCAGACCAACCACAGAACGAAAGAGCATCCAAAATTGGGAAAAGAACCGTTAGTTGATGCGTAAACAATACAATAGATCACGACGGAGCGATTTTGAACAATAAGAAAAATTGAAAAAACTATGTTGCAAAGCCGTCATTGTCTACTTTTCAGTCTTAGCTGGCCGCTATGGCTGTACTAAATGAGTTAGCACGAATTTCTTGACAGCAATTTAGCCACTGGAGGTCATGGTCAAATATGGAAGTAGGCAACGACATTACGCTTACTGTGACCGGCGTGATAGGACCAGCATTGCGGACATAACTTAGCAGCGAATGAATAAAGTTGAAAATGTTTGAATGGACAGAGGCTACAGTTGGATTTCGCGTGCCTCGGTTAACGTATTACGCTTCCACATATCTCTAAACAATAGCTGATATAATCAGATACAGCAAAATCGTGAGTTTATTTTATGAATTCAACGTTACTGGCCGTTCTCTGTAAGGACGGTACTTCACCTGCGCCAGCTACGCGGGTTTCTTCCACAGTCTCAGCCACCTGTGATTGACATTCAATGGGGCGATCAATCTCTATGTATCGCACTAGATAATAAGTGCGTTAAGCTTAAGGTTCAGTACTGCGCTGCTTAGTATATCTTTCTCATGTCGTTGTCGTCGAGGTCGAAACCACTAGCGGTTTTCGTAGCCCGTCACAGCTAGTGGTCGGACTATTGGCGTGTTTTCCTGTTCTCCTGAAACCAGCCAGGGTCGTGGACGAGGGTCGCCGTTGATCGCGAACGAAGTAGATTCAGGACTGGATCGCGAAGTAGCTCTCTTTGAGTGTCGAGGGGCCTCGCCATCTGGACTGAACAGGAGACTGAAGCCGCCCGCTCACCCGGGCGTTGAGATCCGTGTACGCTTCAGTGAAGCGACGGACAAGGTCGGTCCAGCGACAAGGCAACTGTGGCCGTGTGTTCCGTTACAAACGTCAAACGTACTGATTTGAACAGTCCAAGGCACCGAACACCAAACGCAAAACCCAGAGCATCAGAACACCACTTGGGACGGCGAACGCAGCCTTCATCGCGGCTAACATCACACCGCCCATGGACATCTCAACGTTGTGCGGTGAACTGATGACGCTGACGACAACAAGAAATACACTAACCCTGCTTGCTTGCTTGCCAGCTTCATTGCTATTTTACGCCTGTCTGGTATAGGTATTGTACGTTTAGATCTTCTGTTCAACCCGTGCCAATCCGTAAAAAGTCCTGAAAGTCCGAACGCCTGAAGGCGCCTAACTTGAAATCCGACAACAGAGGGCGGGCAGGAAGCTCTCACGGATGCAGCAGGTAAACGGCGCTGGTACTACATATAATGCTAACTGTACTTCATGCAACAACGAGTAGGATCGCACTTATTGTCAGCAAATTATAGGCGGATGATGTACGATACACCGTACGGTGTAGACAGGGTGGGCGTCCAATAGAGGCGGGCATTTTTAACCGGACTACCGCTCGCTGAAGATTAGTCGGATAGACTCGCATTGCAGCAGTGGTTAGCGAACAGAACACAACAAACGAACAAAACATGACCGATCTGGTGAGCAAAAAAAAACAGAGCCGAGCAGCAGGCAGAAATAGTTAAACTGCTGCTACAGCTGCCCGTCTAACCGATGGTACCGCTAACCGGCTGTTGGTTGCTCGAATCAAAGTGGCAGGGAATCGCCGATCCGAAAGGATAGCCGCTTGCTACCAACCGAATTCCTCTCTCTCTCTCTCTCTCTCTTAGCCTCCTCTCTCGCTCTCTCTCTATGTATATA